AGCTATGTCGCCTTTAGTAAAGGATGTCAAGGCAGAACAACTGAATCTACAGATGCTGAAGTTAACTCATCTTTAGAACGTTTTTATTTTTTTGTGACAAGCTTTGATAGGCTATTTATCAAACTGATACTGCTTAGAATCCCTGTAATGTTGTGTTCTTGAGAAGTGATAGTTTTTTCTGTATTTGCTAGAGGAGTCTGTGTAATCTCTTCGTGTCATCTCATTGATAATTTGATACAAATTCACCTTTTTCTAAAGTTTTCATTCATTTTGTCATTTTAATAAATTAATTGACTGTTTTCCAGAAGAAATTTGCAGAGCCTGTATAAAGGAGTACAGGTGATAGAAACTACTGTTGCTGTAACAATGTCCTGTACAACTGTACGTTTTTCCCTAACAAAGGTTGTACCTATTATTTTAGCAATTTTATTGCTATCTAAAATGTGTTATGATGCCATAACTTTTATCATTGTTCTCAAGTGGCATCGTTGTATATCTCATCAAGCTTATGTTGTATACATGTAGAGCAGAAAAAAAGTAGGTGGAGATGCTTCCCTTGATTTCTTTTTCTAAAGATTCTAGCCCTATCTTCTGTGAAGATGGTACAAAATATACAATGATGCATTGTGTTCCCCAAACAGTTTCCAGCCTCAGATGATTATTTTTTTTTTAAATGACACAATTAGCTGGAAAATGCCTCATGTAAAGAATGCCTTATAAAGGCCTGGTGGTCAGCTTTTTCAGCAAAAGCTCTATTTCAGTTTTATGTCTCTGAAACTTTTTTTTTTCCTTTTTCCCTTTCTGGACTGATGAGGCCATGCTGTAATTGATGTCCATTCTCTCTTTGAGCGGGATGGTGTTCGTCACATGGCAGAGTGGGGAGAGGCAGCAGGGAGGAAAGAAAACACTTGTGAGCAGCAGAGTAAAACCTTTCTAGGCACAGAAAATTTTGGCCTCGTGTTAGTTCCATCAGCCTTCTCCTTTTTTCCCCCCACATAAAAAGTGTGTGTTTTGTACGGTATGTTTGTATGCAAACATTTTACACAGAGCTTTTATAAATACTGACTCATAGCTAGCAAATCTGTGAAGAGGTGATAGTTATGTCGTGATGCATAAGCACAGATGTAATCAAGTGCCAGCTGTACAAGGCATCTGTTATTTTTCTTCTGTCCGTGCACTGCAACAGTCAAATAGAAGACGATACAAGAGCCTGACTGGATTTGTATGTTTATTAAGGCCAACACTTTGAAGTCCTTGGTGGATTTGTGTCCATTAGCTTTAAAGAAGTTGTTGATATTTCTGCATTAAGCAACTATTTCATGAGTCAGGATACATAACAAAAGTGTGTTGATAATCTGTGGGAGTAATTTGCAAGAACTTTATTTGTGACAGACTTAACGTTATTACCAGACTGCAAACTCCATTGTTTTCACATTCCTGTCTTAATCTCTCCCCTTTACATTATCATCACTGGTACACTGAAATATGATTGGAGCCCTTCTCATCAATGAGACTTGTGTGAACCTTCAGTTTATCAGGAAAAAAACCCACCTTACCTACGAGTCTCCTTGTCTAATTTTCTCCCCAATGATGGTAGTTGCTAGCATAGCCTAGGAGAGGCCATCAACTAGTTCGTCAAGCACACTTCCTTACAATATCTGGATGATCTTCTGATGAAATGAATGTTCATTACTCTGTTCCTGAAACAGAACAAGATGTGGTAATCTTAGTTTCATACTATTCGAAGGTTTCAAGATCTTCCGATTGTCAAGAGATGCCTTTGCAAGTTTGTGGGGCTCCGTCTTGCAATCTGTGGTGATTTTGGTGGTGTTCGGTAGTAGTTTGGATACTTCTGGTTTTGTAGCTGTAATTTAAATCTACTTATATTGATTACACTAAATGTTATTTTTTTGTTCTCATAGGTGGTGTCATTTTGAAAAATTAATATTTGATTGTGTATTTGATAATTTAGTGAAGAAAATTACTAAGAACAAAGCATTATGCCTAAGTAAATTTTTCTGGAGACTCTGCAAAAAGAACTCCAGGATGTTTATCATTAATGATGCCTCATCTTACTGCACACAGGAATTTTTTGTGTATTTAAATGGGGCATCTTGCTTAGTGTAAATCTTCCTGCTCTGTGGTAACATAGCAGAATAACGAGATAAATGTATGTGGTATAAATGTTATTGGAAGAAGGGAAACACATTCATCCTCTGCTTTTGATCTTAGCGGGTTTGGGTTCAAATTCTTAAATAATGAGTTAAAAGGACTTGAGATGTCTAGCTTTTAAAAGCTATGGCCAAGACTCAGTCTACATATTTAACTTGAAGAAAGTAAAGAGACCACTGTATTTGAGTCTGATTTCCTCTGCAACATGGGCTGTAGGGATCTCTGAATTCTCTGTTTCAAGAAGATTGTGAATTAGGAGTAGTTCAGTGGAAGTCATAAAGGGCCAGAAAAAGCTGCATGGTGCTGCAACTCCGTGGTAGCAAGCCAGTTCTAGCTTTTGCAACCCTGTTGCACATCTTTTATTGCTCAATTCATGTGTTTCTACTTCCTTTCTTGCTTCCATGGTTGTTAGACCTTTCACTGAGCCCTTTCGGTGAAATAACCTGGGGGATAATTCCCTCTAGAGGAGAAAGAGAGGACAAAGTGTTATTTCTGTGTTGATTTAATACGCTAAAATAGGTCAATATAGAATCCGTTGCATATCAGAGGCCGGGAAAGGAAAGTACACAGAACCATTGAGCCTGAGCTTTTGGCGTCACCGCTTATGAGTAGTGTAGGCTCATCAAGGTACTGTTATTAGTCTTTAAGTGCTATGACAGAGAAATGAATCCTTAGATCTATGTCTATAATCCTCATTCTCCTGTTGTAGAAGCATTGATCTTGCTGCTAGCTGAGGACATACAAAAGAGGGTAAAGAAAGACCATTCAAAAGGCTCATACTTTTCAAATGGTTGAGAAATGATGTCTTTGGAAAAGAAACAAAATGAAATTTTGCAGTGTTGGAGAATCCTTGCTTTATGGGATTCTCTTCAACAATGCAATGAGTGTCTGTGCTGCTGGGAACTCAAGCGTTATGGAACAAGAAAGGACTACAAGTGTGACTCATTCTGGCTATTGCCATTTGTTTCTGCTGACTAGATCCTAGGAGCATCCTCAAGTGTATTTGAACTTGTCCTTGTATTTATGTAAAAAAAAAATAAAATACCCTAAAACATGCATATTATCTTCTGATCATGGATTGCAGTGTACCATGGAATTAAAAGACGGATAACATTTGGAAAGAGGACTTTTGAATTGGAGTTAGGTAGAATTTCAGAGTAGTTCTGACCTAGTCCATACTACTACTTGATTATTAGCACTTGGACTCAAGTTACTGGCTTTTAGCCAGTGTAGTTTAAAAAAACATTGGTAGAATGGTCTTACCATGATCAGCCAAAAGAAGGGTGTGACATAATAACTATTCTTTGAGTGACAGGATTATTACCCATAATTTTGTTGGTGCAATATATATTAGAAGGTGCATACTCTTGACTTGTAGTCCTGTAGTTAGCCATATTTCAAGTCAAAATGGACCTGTTCAACACAGGCTTATATGGAAATACTAATTGGTATCAATTATGCTAATATAATTTTAGGTATATCAACTTCTATAATTTCTGTTTTGAAATAAGAATCTGTGTATGCTTATATCAAAACAATAATTTCCTGTAGCTAATAAATGTACTTAAATCAAAAAAAGTTTGCACGTAGACCTTGCTGTGGTTTTTTGTGTTTTCTAGCAGCAGCGAGCTTCAAATGTAAAGTAACTAGACTTGGGTCTCACTGTTTTAAAAGTGTTTTTGAAGGGCCTTTGAAGTGCTTAAAAGTAATAAATAGCACCCTCTAGTTCTTAGCCTAGGTATGTGCCTAGAAAAATGTATATTTTGGGAAGAATTTCAGTAGGCAAAATGTCAAAACTTCTTTTTTCTATTATTTCTTTGACGTTGTCTTTCTGTGCATATATTGTATATTGTTTCTCTGCTGCATACTTATTGTATGTACTACTCTATTATCTTGAGGCATTTGAGGTAAACAGTTGGCATTTGTGCTCCATTTCTCCAGAAAATTCTCGAGCAGCTTGGACAGATCCAAAAGACAAGCAAGTGTTGTGTCAGGAATTGTGTTAAACTCTGTAAAATAAAACAGATATGGGCAAGGGGAAACACCCTCCTTTACCAATACTTAGTATATGTTTGTACAGCTGGCAATTTGTGCTGCTTCATATTCGTTGACCTAGAAGTAGCCAACATTTTAATGCGTTCTTGGAGGGGAAAAAAGGTGTTATGGAAAAGAACTGCCACATCAAAGCCTCTCCTCAGCTTGTAAAATGGTTTCCACCACTACCTTCCTCAACCCTATCGGAACACTCAGCACTTTCTCCCTCTCAAAAGAAAGCAAGGCTTTTTATTAAGAACTGGCCTTCGAGTTTTATTTATATTAAAATGATAAAAGTGACAGAAGGCAGTTGAAAAGATCTATATAGTTCAAACAAAAGTCCATCAGAGATGTAATGTAAATTCTGTGTAATGTGTCTCTATCAAATCAAGTCAAATGATTCAGCTGTTGCGTGGAGTGAAGTAAGTACTCCCTTCAGGAAAGTGTTGCTCTGTTTCAAATAACTACAGTATAGTCTGTATAGTCTTCCTGCCTGTCAAATGGTTTGTATTTTGCTGGTCAGATCTGATGTTCCAGAGTCTTGTTTGTGACAAAGGAAACTAAGTGCTTGATAATTATTTGCACAATACAGGTTCTTGATTGTTGTAGATATCATAATTCAATTTTAATAACACCTTTCTTTAATGTAGAAGGCTTTTGTTCCTCAGAATTCTGTTCATATTGCTGGATTTTTCATTTAGCATGCTAAATAATATAGGGAGGTTGAAATAATTTAAAAATAATTTTACAAGAAAATCCTTCGTTCTGTTAAAATCTTTTTTTATTCCTTTTAGCACAAGCCCACCTTACTGCTGTGTGGACCTTTATTCTTTGCGAACAGGAGAGATGGTCAAGTCCATACAGTTCAAAACTCCTATTTATGATCTGCATTGCAATAAAAGGTAAGGATGTTTACTGTACATACTTTCTGCGTTAGGGCATGTAAAATTGCAGTAATGAATACAATTTCTGGTATATGTGCTCCCTGAGTTTATTATTTTGACTTTCCTGTAAACATAGCTTTGGTTCTCCATTTCTCAAGTAATATTTCAGTTTGAGTATGACAAACTTTGCTTCTCCAATGGCTTTCATTTCATTTTTTGTCTGAAATCATTTAAGCTTATTTCAGTTGTGATGAGGGTGAGCGGAATCGGTGGAATCCTCTACCTGCAGATGGAGAAATGGGATCACTGAGAGTTTAAGCAGTATAGAGCACTAAAGAGTTTATGCCTCTTCTGTGTGTTCCATTGTTCTGTCAGATATATTGCCTTCCTGTGCATCCAAAGAATTCCTGGTTTGCACTCGGTGGTTTACAGGAAATAACGTTCTTGCGAGTCAAATAACAAAGCAGCATCACTTAGTTGGGGTAATGTCACCTAACTTCTGAGAGAAAATGGCTTAGAAGGCTGAGCATCAGGTTGAAAGTACCTTGTTTCCGTAGAATCGTGATTTCAAATTTTTCTGAATTAACTTCAGATCTTCCTCTCTCCAAGACACACAAAACAGAACACCCTTGTAGTTTACTGCATCATTTTAAGACAGAAGAGAAAACCCAGGATCCCTACATGAGTACGTTGACGATCCTTTGGCACTCCTGATGTGAGAATTTGATGCAGTGACGTTGGTCAAAGTCCACGATCGTGCTGCTTCCTTTGCTTCCTTCCACTCAGCTATTACTGTTACTAGTCATTGTATCTCTTGAGGTACCTTACGGAAGCTGTGGAATATGATTCCCAAATGAAGGAGCTGCCGCATTTCTCTGGCAATTTGCTTGCTGGAATTGTTTGTCCTTCAGTAAGGAAGGTGTGATAATAACACAAATCCTTAAGAACAAAACAAAACACCAGAACGATACATTTTCTGTGCCAGTTTTGTATGGCAGTAGCCAGCATGTGAAGACCACAAAAGAATGTGGGCATGTGTTGAACTGATGCAACTAAGGGACGGTAGCAGTGTTGGAGATTGGAAGGGGGAAAAAAAAAGATACAAATCCCTCCCCCCAACCCTAGAAGTCACAAAGGTTTTGTTATAACAGACATTTGTCTATCAGTTGTACCATCTGAACATTAATGACTACGTTAGGTCGAGTATAAATTACAGAAGAAAAGGAACGCTACTGAACAAACACCTCTAATACCACAACTAATCTAATAATGAGGAGGATATTTTGATAGTGTAAATGTTTAAAGAAGTAAAGGATGGTAGTGTTTTGGGGTTCTTTTTATCCCTGTCAATCTTCTTATTGTAGGACGTGGGTATGATTGTTATATCAAAAAAGAGTTTCACTGAAGTGGTTGAGTTAGTGAGAGTTACGTGCCATGAACAGGCCAGTGTTCCTTTAAAAGCTGTCAGAAGGAGTTCAGTACTTATCTGTGCAACAGTCCCTTGAAAAATTTAGAGTTCCCTTGTGTACAGTGCGATGATAGTAAATCTTTGCAGTCTGGCCTCCTAGCAGAAGAAAAATCCAATTGTAAAAACAGTCAAAAGGCAAATCATCATTCAAAGTCTCTCCCAACTAAAAAATCTTTCCAGGTGCTAATGTTTCTTTTCCTAAGTGGTAAAAATGGAAAACCTACTTCAAAGCTGTGTGGCTGTATCCAGGGTAGCTGCTTTTCTGGAACGTATCAGATTCTGTTTTTATCCAAGGAAAGCTCAGTATTTCAGATTGAAAATGCATTAAATATGGCCAAGTGCAGTGCTAATGGTGCGTTAACTGTACTATAGACTAATGGAGTCCAAAATTTGAATTTAAAATAAAACTTGAGTTGCAGAAGAAGGAAAAACTGTTTATTATTTATGTATTTATACTCTAGAATCATCCATCTGGTAGGTTTCATTTATGCAGAAAGACAGTACATCTCCAAAGAGTGGAAACCAAAAATCTACAGGATTGGGAAATATTAAAATCAAATATACATAGGTTGTCTATATATACATTACACTTACACATGCATTCAAAGTCTTTCCATTATTCATTGGTTAACTTTCTTTTAGGCCTTGTGAAAGAAGTTAGACTTGATACATTTTCTTTTGTTTTTCTCTCCTGCGGTTTAAGCAATAGAAAGATATGTCATTTAACTAAAACTACTATTTTGTCCAAAACTAATATTAATTTATATATGCAGAGTTTATCACTTTTTAAAAATTGAAATTTATAAATCAGAAGGGGATGGGCAAGCATCTTTTTAACAGTGAGAGCTACAGGCAAATAAGAAATCCTGCATTAATTTCTTGTATGACTTAAGACATCTGCGTCCCCCTTGTTAGAGCTGTGTGCTTTCCCGTTCCAGCTCTGTAAATCTGTGACTGAAAGACTTTGGTCTGAAAACGTCCCTCGATTTCTACCTTCCTTCCTAGAATTTTGCTGCTTCTTGTTTCTAGATAAATAAACTAATTCTACAGATAAACAGAGCAGCAACAAAGTCTCAGGATGAGATGTTATAAACCAGAGAATCTTGAAAGAATTTGAGATACAGAACAGTGCTTATTGCTTTAATCAGCTTGTGTATCGAACAAATAGTGAGTAGTTAGTCTTACACCAGCCTATTGAAAAGGCTTCAAGAGTCATCTTGGGAGCTACAGATGCAATCTATGTTATTTGGCAAATGTGTTGGTAAAAATAATAGCAAAATCAAATAGCAGACACATAGATAAATCATACCTATTGGGGGAGTGTTAGTACAGTTTTGTAGGTGGAAATTGTGACTCAAAACTTATTTATATATCTGAAAACATCAGCAAGTGTGTGAGCAAGGTATATATTTCTTTTATTTCAGTGTAGTCCTTCACCAAAGAGTTTTACAGGTATTGAGCTCTCATGGGATAAGAACGGGGTGTTCTTGTGGCTAAACAGTTAAAAATAGGACAAAAAAGAGAGGAGTTAATGGCTGGTTTTCACACTGACGGGAGATGAGCATCACCGTTTACCCAAGGATATGTGTCAATACTGATGTGATTCATCATCTTTTTAAACATTATTCAGTACTGTAATATGCAATCATAATTTTCAGATAAAGCATTAGGTATGTATTTTAGTCATTGAGAGATGCGATTAATTTTTTGCCACATCATATCTTTACAATTAAAACTATTAGAACAGCATTTAACAATGCTCCATATTGTCAGCTAATTAAAAAAATACTGTGTCATATTCTTACTAATGAGAGAATAATCAGATTCTTAATTATGTCATATTGCTAAATGTTCCAGATAGTTGGTAGATTTTATCTGTTTATTTGTCAGCTTCCCAGGTGGTTCTTTCATTTCAAGAGTTTAAGAACTTGGTTTTAGGAAGTCATCAGTGTAGAAGACATATCCTAGTTATAAAGCTTTCATGATGCTTCGCTTTCTAAATTTGACCTCTATTAATTCAGACAGCACAGTGTTTCATGCGTAGTTATCGCTTGGCTTTTGTCCTGTTACTTGGTTTCAAGTAGTGAACAGGTATTTTACAATAAAAGTGTGTATGTGTATGAGTGAATGCATAAACATACACCTGTAATTTTGCTAATTGACACAAATCCTGCTTCTCAACTGTATTTGGGTGCTGATGTTCTTGGTATGAAACACTCCTCCCGCTTTTAGTAAATAAGATGGTTTAATAAATTTGCAATGAGATGGGCAATGGGATTATTTCAATTTTAGCTTGTGTTCTACCGATTGTTGATTTGATTGTTATTTGAGTCATTGAAAGTAATTCAGGATCCTTGCAATTCCATTCTTTCTTTTTAATGGAGCTTTTACTGCAGGAGGTATATCATAAATATGCTGTGTTGTTCTGTATCAGATCTGTGTACTTCCTGAAATGAAGGTTATGTGGTTGGGATAAGAGAGAATCCTCAATAACTGCCATGTATTGGTAACCTGGCAGTTTATCACTGTAGAATTTATATTGATGCTTTTGAAATAATTACATTTAGATATTGAATCTTTAAACCAATGCATTTAATGTTTAAAGTACGTGTTCCATTTCTGTGCTTTCAGGATACTTGTTGTAGTCCTGCAAGAGAAAATTGCCGCCTTTGACAGCTGTACATTCACCAAAAAATTCTTCGTTACAAGTATGTACTATAATTGGGTTCAGTCTTTTTACTTTCGTGGTAGAGTGAGGTAAAACAATGGGGTGTTTTGGTTTTATTTCTACATCCTCAAAGCAGGTCTCCATGACTTCATTTGGAGTTTCAGGAAATCTGTTGCTCCAGAAAAACCCCAAATGTTACTCTGTGAGTCTTTGGGTCTTTTGCATATTTATTATTGCCGTAACTAATTTCTCATTGTTGCGAAAAGCACCTAGACTGACATCCAGAGGTAGCTGAAAAATTATTTTGTTCATTTTGCACAAATATGTGCAAAAGTTTCAGGGTTTGGGTTTCAGGTTGTACGCATAAGCAGCAATTTGAAAACGCATCGACGGCGATCTGCCCACTTTTCATGTTTTGTTGTTCCTTAGGCCCGGGTGCATTGGGGTTTGTGGGTTTGGTTTTGTTTGTTTCTGTTTTTTTAATGTGTCTGTACTTTAGGAGGCCCCAAAGCTCAAGCAGATCAGTAAAGTGTTGTAGTAGAAGAACTACAGGCAGGTATTTGCCTGCGGGTGCTTTCACATATACCTTGAGCATGAAGGAACTGTTTGCTCAGACTTCCCTTTATCCCTCTGTACCCCACGACTTGGCTCGCAAGAGGAGGCAGTAGGTTGTAACGAGTAAGGTGCTCTCCAAAAGCTCTTCCTCTACTCTGTGTCCCTTTGCTGCATCAACATCTGTAACGCAGGAATTGATACGTTAATCGAAAAAAAGGGTATGTTTTCTGCTGCTCGTGCTCTGCTCTGTCACAGGATGTGGTTAGGGTGAGGATGTCATTTACCTGCTCCCAAGGCTGTATAATGCTAAACACCAAGAAAGTATTCACCCCAGGAAAAAAAAATAAAAAATATCTTTTTTCAAGTGACTAGTGCTACTGCTTATCAATTAGAATAGTCTCTTAAAAATCTGACGATTACTGAGGGATCATAATTTACTTTGAAAGGGTCGAGTTTTATGGCTAAACGGGAAGGTCTGACATTTTCTGGATGTATTTTCAGTTGCAATTGGAAATGTTCGAAATTATCTTTTTATATTATCTGTGTATTTAAAGAAAAATCTAGTTAGGAGAAGCTGTTTCTTGTAATAGCTTGAAGAAAAGCAGCTTTATGCAGTAATATTAAAGTTGCCAATAGGTGTCAGTTTCTCCCTACTCATGGCTGTAACATTCTGGGCATCCGCTGGGGTTCAGTGAGGAGAACCACACGGGAAAAGTGTCCTCCTATTCCTCACTCCTTCTTTTTATTCCACCACAGAGAATTAAGGTACAAGCCTTGCCTTATTTTAGATCAAAGGTAAAAAAACCCCAAAACCACACACATCTCAATTAAGCATGTATTGTGACAATTCTTGTGCTTTTCTGATTCCAGTTATTATTTCTTGGTTTGTTTTTTTTTTTTTAAAAAAGCTGCTGCAATTTGTTTTCAAAAAATTAATCCACTGTGTTCTGAGGAACAGGGGTATGCTGTTCCTAACCATAACTTTTCCTTTGCAGTGCATTTTTGTGGAACATGGTGGAATTTAAAAAGGACAAAATAAAGCTTTTGGAGATATTTACCAAATTATTTGAAAATCCAAACTCCTGAAATGTCACTATTCACAGTGTATTTCTCCAGCTGGGCTGTGTGAGAAACGCAAGAGATTCTCAAACTTTGTTCGAGTTCTGGGGTTCCAAAGCTCAGTTACAGACACTGCTTGTTTTGTACTGGGCATTTCGGGAAGCTGCTGCGGGACCCAGCAAACAAACCCTGGAGCTGCTGCCACCGGAGCCCTGCCCCTGTCGCCACGGGGGCATCTGGGCAGAGACACCTCCGCTTCCCCCCCCCTTAGATGAATGCATTTCTTGGATCTGTGCTGGTGAATAGTTGTCCTGAGGATTTTGAAGCTCACTTGTTTCACTTAATAGCTTGTGCTATCAAGTGGGTGTTATGCTCTGGCATGTTGAAGGCTGCAGTAAAGCTTTTGTCTAAGCTTTCGGATTTCGTATGTGCTGAAGTATCTTCGACCTAAGAGTATATCTTTAAAGGCTTAAGTTACTCTGATGTGTTTGAAATTTGATGTAAATGAGTTACCTAATTAGCTGCATAGATTTTTGACAGTCAGCCAGCTGGCCAGCAACTGGGCTCTTTTGCTGCTGCCTTTTTTTTTATTATTTTTTTTTTAAATTTAGGAAACGGCAACATCAGTTTGAATTGGAAAAGTAGAAATCCCTACTAAATAGGAAGCTCAGCAAAGGTCTTGTCCTCTCTGTTTGCATTATTGGAGCATCCCCGCTCTGCGGGACAGTCAGCCGGTGTCCCGCCTGGACCCATCCTGATGCACCTTAGCTGGACAGTGGTGGTGAGAATGTCACTGGCTGCCCAGAGAATTTTTTGTTGTCAAGAAGATTCTCAGCTGTGTTATCTGACTGCTTTTGGTCAGAAGTGATGCCATAAAAGTTCAAAAATGTTAAATTAGGATCACAAGCTGTTCGAAGACATTACTGTGTAAACCACTGTGTAGAAAAAAAAAAATCTTTTTTGCAAGAAGACTTGGTGATGATGTGGAAATCACATCTTCCAGCCATATCAGCTAAGTGATGTGGGAGCCTCAGAGCCTCACTGAGACAGCTACAAAGCAAACATAATTAAGCAGAAGCTCTTGTCCATTTTTTGACTATTTATACATCAAAATTAAATGCAGAATGTACAATTAAAAACAGTGTCAGGAATTCTGAAGTTCGGTATTCCTCAGCAATGCTAATGCAGCTGTGTTGCACATGAGTAGTATTTGTCTTTCTGTTTTTGTTTTTGTGGTTGAATGTGTAGCTTAATATATTGTTGTAATAAATATACCATAAAATATTCAGGATGTAGAACATGGTCAAGTTCGTGCTGCTGTTGGGATGTTTAACTCCTGCATTTCCTGATTATTTTTGTTTTGAGCAAATTTGACATAGTACTAACTTCCCCCCCCCCCCCCCCCGCATGTGATTAGATGGAAATGGGCTGATTTGACTTAAATGGCAGAGAGCCAGCACATTTTATTTGTGCCTTTTGTAACAAAACCTCAGTGTACGGGTGCTCCAGTCTTGGTGTGTGAATTTAAGACAGGTGCTTAAACTTGAAGGGAGAACATACTGTGGATGTTGTAGAAAAACTACCAGCATATTCTATAATCTACCCTGTGTGGTATTCTTATTTTTAATTGTCTGCTAAGGAAAAGCATAGCATCAGTCTGCAAAGAACTCATGGCAGTAACTTTCATACGGCACTCCATTCTCTGCTGTGCTTATGCTCAGAGCCGACTCCGTTTCGTTAAGAGAGGACTTGCATCAAGGGGAAGATAAAGCCAAACAGTAATTTCACATCCTGTGCTGTTTTAGTAACCTGTGGCCAAACTAAAAAAAACATTTGCTTTAGCGAGAATGTGTTTCCTTCAGTAGTTGTGAATGTCAAGGTGTGGATTTAAAATAGATTATTAAATAGTTAAGGGTTTTATTGTGATTCGCTTAAGATTTCCTTCAGAGCCTTTTTCTGAATACTTCATATGACTGAACGATCAGAAACGAAAGTGATGCACAGGCTTTTTTTTTTTTTTTCTTTCTACTTTGCTCTAAACAATAGATGCAGAAAAGCTGAATTTCATTGATTTCTATTACATCAGTGCTCCCTCAACCCTTCTCCAAAAATGCTTACTTAGTGGAACATTGATGATTATGAATATGGCCTGATGGATACTTTCTCCTCTGTAAAGAATATCCTTCCCACCCCCTGGGCCCTAAGTAAAGATTATCACAGATAACATCATGCATGTGGCATCATCTTTGTGTCCGATAACTAGTGCCTGCTCAGTTTCTCTGGCCCTTCCACTCCTCATATTGATATATTCTCCATCCATTATTCTCTAGGGATGAAGACAGTTATTGCAGCCATTAGCTGGCACCACATTTCTATTGATGCTGTACAGCTAGAGCCTTAAGAGGTAATTTTCCAGATTTTAGTCAGAGTACTTTATTGTATATAAAGTCTCAAAAGACTTGCCTAACCACAAGCCAAAAATTATTCAGTGTATGTTAAATGCACCCCACCTGCACCTCTCCAAATAAACAAAAAAACTTGGTGTTTGACACTCTGATCAGCAATTTGGATGTGGTATTCCTGTTTTCGCTGATACTCACATGCAAGAAATAATACAGTGGTTTCAGTTTGTCACAGGTCTGATCTGGAAATCATCTAGGCTTTTTTTTGTACGCTTTTGTTAGCTTTGTTAGAATTCCTCTTCCCTGATAGGCACACAGGGAGCAGTTTGATCTCTTTCCTTTGAAGTAAAAACACTGGTTGTCTTATGAAAAGGTTTAATGCCTGAAGAGTTACAAACAGAACTTCTGGAAGAATGTACGTTTCCTGTCTCAACTGTGATCAGTGAGTGGCATTTATCCTGGATATCCCACATGGTATAATAATTGATAGGATTCCTCCCTCTGTGGAGGGACACTCTTCAGTTTAGATGGAAAGTCCTTGAAGCAGGTGGGAGGTGAGCTCCTGAGTCACAATATTTTCTTGATCAGCAAAGAGGGGCCAAGTATGTTTCTTCGAATTGTATATAAGCAGTTTTTATTTTTATACGCACACACATATATATGAACATACACCCCTTTATGTAAATTGTAACAGCCTTCCCTGAGAAATGTTGATTTGGTATTGCTTCTACTTTTTAACAGCATTATTTATAAGTGTTTTTTCCTGAATCTGAGAATCAGTGTGTCACTATTACAGGATAATGTTGAAATACTTTTTGAGAAGGTCTTTAGGGCAATGTGTTAGATTTATGGAAACGAATGCCTTCGTTGCTTACAGGGTGTTTTGCTATATCGCAGGAAAGTGTAAATACAACAGAAGAATTGCGTAAAGACAGAAACAAGGCATTGGTACCCAAGATGTATATCTATCATATCTCCTGGGTTTGACAGTTTTAAAAATTATACGTAGAGCAGGAAGTGCTGT